TGCAGGTAGTCCGAGCAGCGAAATAAGTGAAGATGCGGCACCTGTGGGACACGCGCCGGTCGATGGAGAGCAAAGAGTACGAGAGAAGAGCAAATACGAAGCTGCGGAGCCGTACCGAAGCAAGAAAGGGGATAGATTGAGTTGAGGGTCTGCAAGAGAAAGAAAACGCGAAGTCATGTTCTGAATGCTTGATATATTCTGTACGGGCGAACCCCGAGGTATTCGTTTGGTGTGTACATTGATGATCAAGTTCCATTGTTCCCTGAAGCCAAATGTCGCAAACCCTCTGTAACTCCTGTTGTTGTTCCAACCATGACCATGACCATCAAACGGGTATTATGCTAAAACGCTCGCCCAATCATTCCAACGCCTCGATGTGACCAAATGAACATAACGCCGTATTCATCCTCTGTTGTCCTTTATACCGCTCGCACGTTCTCGTCATGCATGACAACATAAAGGTGCATAGTGCTTCCTCGAAGCATTTGGGTGTCCTGAGTCACGCTCGCGCTTCGACTCGATTGCAGGGGGGACAAAGGGCAGAAGAACGGCGGAGGTAATAAGAGTGCCTGCAACGGCTGATTGTAATCTTGTCGCTGGTTTGGGTACTTGCGCCGAGAAATGGCGGACCGCTGTCTGGGTGAGAGTGGTGGTGACGGTGCCTGCGAGACTCATGGCTGCGGACTTGAGAGATGGTGGGTTTATACAGTGGGGAACGAGAATCGGAGTAACTGGCGTCCAAGAGCCAAGTTGAGAGCCGAGACGGCGAGGAATCAACCGCAGGATCTTCCTGTTGCGGAAACTGAGGGTTTGTCTGTTGCAAATCTGTTGTACAAGGCAGAAGAAGTTCAAACAAACCGAAGAGAGGGGAAGTGGAAATGTTTTAAAGGGGGTGGGATGTGGGATCACAAGGCATTGCTGCAGTAGTAGTAAGTAGTGACTAGTGTTGGGACATTTCAACTCACAGGCAGCGTCGAATCAGGGCTGCGAATGACTCCTACTAAGAAGGTGATTGCGTGCTAAGCAATCGAAATGATGTTGCTGGGATCGGGATTCCAGGTACGGAGAATAAAGCGGCTGTTAGGCATCAGGTTGCGAAGGATAAGTGGAAAGCAGAAGGCCAGTGGCCTGAGAGGTCCTCAGTTTGACTGCTGCCAGCCAGTGGATTTGTCTGTTGTTTGTAATATGGGTGCGGACCCTCAGCTGAGCATGCGGAATTTCGTGGGGAGACTGGCACTGTTTAAGCCGATTAATCGGTCAGTCGCCTGAAAAGGCATACCGAAAATCCGAAATATACACGACCACCAAGTGGCAGGAGACCGCAGTAGGAGGTGATCCAATAGTGTACGAGTCTTTGAAATCACCTTTCTTTCAGGGGTCACGCTGACAGAGGTGGCGTTAAAATGCGCTGCCAGAAGAAACAAGGCTGTCTCAGCCTTGTCCGAAAACACCCTGCTCGGAGCACGGAGAAAGTACGGAAGTCCTCGGAGTACGAGTCGCCCGAGCCTGTGGCTGAATTCACGTGACTGTGGCTATATTGTGGCTGACATTTCGTCTGTGCAGCCTTGCCCACCTTGTATCGCAACTGATGTTCAGGCTGGTCGGTGACAACGCCAACCCCTCGGAAACCGAAATTACAACCCCTCCAAAGATAATGACCAAATCCTGCATCTCAGTTTCCGTACAACCCAGATGGCAGCGCATCACATTTCTCTTGCCAAAGCCTCTTTTGGCGCTTCTCTCCTGCGACCCGACGTGACAAAGGTCTCGCGAGACGACCTCCCCACCTTTCACAATGCCTTTGAAGCTACCCTCCACCAATGCTCGAGTCGCAACATACAGGTCTGGACACTTCAAGAATGACACAATACCTCAAGGCCGGATTAACTGAAGAATTATAGACATGTAAACAATGGCTGTTGGAAAACGTGGTTGTCTCAACGACAAGGACCACCGCTCTGGGGAAATATCTGGTTGCCATAGGCCGACACCTTACAAACCAGCCAGATGAATCATCCAGCACAAGAGTCTCACGACAGCGACTCCATATCCTCTATCTTGTGAACGATCTCCTTCACCATGCCAAATATCACGAAGCCGACGTCGCCCTTTGCAACAACCTAACACAGTCGCTGAAACCGTTTCTGGCAGATCTGATCCGACTCAGCGCATCAGACGCAAAGGCACGCGTGCGGAGGCGGCTATCCGATTTGATCCAACTATGGAAAGAGGAGGAGTATTTTAGCCCACAAGTGATTGATGAGCTGCACGATGCACTCGCTGGGGTCGCCTCCAAAGCCCAGCCAACAGTGGAACATGAGGCAGAGCGCAAGAGTGCAGACAAAGAACTCCCATACCTCATCCCTGCGACACACGGCGACCCTTCGTTACCCTTCTACGACCTCCCCGCCGGCAATCTGATGCGTCATATAATCCCAAACAGCTCGCAGCCAATGCGTCCTGACGAGGTCCGAGCCCTCCAATTTTCCGCGGGCCCCGCAGATGAGAGTTTGGTGAATGCGCTGAAAGACTTTTTGAACGATGTGAAGGGCGCTGAGTCTACCCTCCCAAGGCTTGAACAATCTGGCCTTTCCCCGGAGATTGACGAGATGGGTCAGATCTCGTACCACGATGAAGCGGGTGACGTGGTCGGTGATACATATTACGGATGGTCCCGGTCGTTTTGTGATAAGATGAAGAAGCGTGGTAGGGGGGGTTCGGAAGACTCCTCACCACGTTCAAGGTCAAGAAGCTCGGATCGCAGTCGAAGTGCAACACCTCAGAAGCGCAGACGTCGTAGTGTTTCAACCAACCGGCGCTCCAGATCATCAAGATCGTATAGCCGCTCACCTCCCACACGCCGGCCTGAGAACCCGAGGAGACAATGGAGTCGAAGTCGAAGCCGGTCGCGCTCCAGAAGCCGCCCCTACTCTCCCAGCAGTTATCATTCGCGACCTGGGCAACCTCCAAGATTTGACCCACCACCAGCACACGTTAATGCAAACGCTGCGCCGATTCCTCCACCTCCCCCTATGGTAATGCCATTCCCGCCTCTGCCCCTACCTCCTACAGGACTACCGGTACCTCCCCCCAGACCACCGCAATGGGTAGGTCCTTGGCCTCCTCCCCCACCTCCTCCATTCCCTCAGGCAAACATAGGATACCAGCATGCTCCCTTTCCCCCTCATCCTCCACCGCCGCCACCGCCGCAAACCTTTGTCCCTCCACCCGACAGCTGGATGCGGTATCCAGGGGCACCACCAGGACCAAATAACCAATATGGAGACAGGCGCTGATGCCATTACCCCACTGCTTTGCTTTGTGATGCTTGTTGTTGATCAAACATCACGTCACCCTACCTATACTTCTATGTGGAGGTGCTGCAGAGTTGTCTACTTGTACGGCAGGCCAGACAAACCGCTGATGACCCCAGCAAACCGATTGTTGGCCAAATCATGTTCAACCAAGTGTCCATAAAGATCCACATTCACATGATAATCGACCTTGTTCATACAAAGATAATGTTGCTTACAACTCGCATTCGATGCCGCAAACATGTGAATGGTGAACCACAAGCCTCTGGCATCATTCAGGCTCCCATAGGCCTTCGCTGTGGGTGTTCAGGACCCTTGAACCCAAGTGTTCGCTACTGAACCTTTACGTGTTGGAGATATGCCATTGGATGAAGAAAAGGACATATACCTGTGGATGATGGGCGATTGGGTTCGACTTGTTTGGCGGCGCAGAACAAGTCATACGAGTTCTTCCCATGATGGGTGGTGGTAAAGCTTATCTCACGACGGAGAATGAGGCGCGCACTTGTCAAATACTCGGTACCACTCGCAGGACTCTCAATGACAGGGCGGCGGTTGATGGCCAGGGTCCATTACCTGAACCTGAATTAGGAAGCGGGTGGCGCGCTTGGCAGACGCAAGGCTGGGGCTCCCGCTTTCGTGCTGGACCGACGTCATTACTTGGGATTCGAAGCCTGTCATTGGCCGCCAACCGGCAACAACACGGCAACTGTCCCCCAACTGCTTCTTCCCGTGTCGCCGTCGGACGCCCCAGGCCACACACCACCCTATCGCCAGCAACCCATCCACTACGAGCGTCACGAACCTCTAGCACACATGAGCAAACAATGGAAATGACCATGACTACTCACTCTTCCTTTCTCCTGTATCTCTTTCCTTGTTACGCACGTCCGATCTAGCCTGCGCGCTTTGCTGGGCTTCTCCCTTGGTTAAGACCGCACAAGTATGCGAAGTGGTCCCAGCATCTTCCCCGACGACGATCACTCTTGAATAGAATTCAGACATGCTTATCTCGAATGCCTGACCACGAGAATCCCTCGGCCCAAAATCGTTGGGTCTAGAGCATGGGCTTCCCCATCCACAATTTTTCCGCATGTCTATCGAATGCGAGATGTGATCATATTGCATTGCCTCTCCCATCAGACCCTGGACGATTCTGGGTTTGACGGATCGGCAGGGTCGTTCTCCACCTGCAAAGGACGTTCTTCATGGCTATTTGCTCGATGCTCAGCTCTGGTCCTTGAAATCTTCATTTTTGCTGGGGATCGAGGGCCACCATTGCCGTTTGATCATCGCCCCGTCAAATTGTAGTTCGCCAGATGGCCACTCAGCTCCATCCAACTGACGGCAACTTGCATAACCTCTCCAGAGGTCTCACCACACTCATTGGGCGCGACATACGCCATTTCTCCGCCTCTAGACCTGGACTTTGCCCTCCATTCCGTCTTTCGGTTCGCCCTCATTCTCGCCAATGGTGGTTCAGCCTGGTGTGCTGAGCATTCTCGTCGAGATATATAACCAGATGGTCTGGATTCCCCATTGCCATTTTCCATATCAGCTCACTATCATTTACAAAACATCTTTTTACGTCGAAACCACCTCTAGCACCATCATCTCGTGTTGACCATTGCAGTCTTCCAACATCAGAAAAACCTTTAATACTCCAACTCCAGATCAAATTCCACCATGCCTTCGGCCGTCGAATACCTCACCAGCCCCCAACAGAACTTCAACTATGAATCTGATCCTATTGCGGCCATGACTTCGTACGCTCGAATGATGCACATGCACACCAAGCAACAAATGGATGCTGCAACCCGATCAGCACGACGACGAAGTCCACCCGTTGGTGTTGATGCCCACGCCAACGCAGGTCTTTCCAAGCAGAGTACACACAGCAGTACCTCGTCACGATCATCTTTTTAACCGTACCACGGAGCGACATTCCTTTCTCTGAGCGTTCAAGCTCGCCAACTATATCATCAAGAACCAGTTGGCATCTACACCAAACGGGTGACGGAGTTGTCAGTGAGCATGACGGAGTGAGACTGCGAAACTCCTCGCTGAAATATACAATTATCCACTGTGGTTGACTCCAATTTGTGGTAGAGGACCGTGCAACAGAAGGTTCTCATGACTGCTTCGACCTATCACTCTTTCACGCGTACACGCGGCATATCATAGCTGCAGTCCTGCGTGGTGGTGAGGTTGTTCTCACCCAATGTGTACTATTACCAATAGCGGAATATTACATTCCTGCTCTTCTCGTCAAAAAGCGCCAGCAGCATCGGGCGGCGCAGGGGCTTTTGATTTTTTAAGGGGTGGAAATACAGATCTTTACGAACTCGAAGCTGAATGAAATGATTTACCAAACTACTTCGCTTTGTTTCCTTTCAATTTAGATTATCTCTGCTCAACTATTGTGATATAACTCACTTTGTTTTTCAATCTACAGTGCTCCCTTACCTATACGACAATTAGGTTGTGCTTGTCCTGCAGTTGTCTGATGTGATTGAATTCCCCCATGCACCCTTGTGGTAACAGTCACCTTATGACTATCCGCGGGGGGTGGGGGGGGGGGGAGGTAAATTAAGCCTGCGCAATAGTATCTATGAGCATACAGGTACAACTTGCCCAATAATCCATTCTGGACAGTTTACTTGAATGTTATCATACCTACTGAATAGGTACCTACTTTTGTTGTGCTGAAATCGGTCTACAGTACCGCTATGCATAGAAGTCTGTACATGGGTGTAGACACCAGCACCCCAGCCACGACCAAACGACACCAAGCAGTGGACGCTGACAGATAGATAGACTAACTGACTCACTCCCCGTACTTCCCCTCTTTCCTGGCTGACTGGCTGTGGCCATACCCTCGCAGTGAGGCCCTGCGTGACGTTCGTCTTGTCAGGCAACAGCCTCGTCGATCACTTGCATCATATGGAACCAACCCGGCCCCGTGCTGGGATTTTCTGGGGGAACGTCATACAGCCACGACTCTCGAGTGTCAAGTAACTCTCCTAGTCCTGGTCTGCTATTTAATGATAGGATAGGATAGGCACCCAGAGGATAGGTCTTGCTTGCTTACATATCTATCACTACCCATTACTACTACTGCCTACCTATGGTGTCTATGTACCACATACCTATTAGGTCTTGGACTATAGTCATGTCAGATCGAGACCGAGCAAGCAAGCAATCAAGCAAGCACGTAGTAAGTCCTCCTAGTAGTGCCTCCTCTTCGCACCAGTGCCACCGCACAGTGACAGTGACATGCATCCCATATGGTCAGTGAGTGTTGGAGAGGGGGATTGTCGAAAGATCGACATTCAAAGACGTAAAACTCGCCATTTCCCCCATTTTTAGTTTTTCCCCGTCACCCCCCTCTGGTGGTCAATCAGAATGTGGAATTGTTGGGTGGGAAAGTGGGAAACTCCTGCCCACGAGGCGATGATTTGGTCTGTTCTGGCTTTTCATCTTTCTGGCTTGGCTGTTGGGGGGTTTTGTGTGTTGCCCATGCCGCAAACCATGGGATTTGCGATTATCGGCCATGGAGAAATTGTGGGATTGTGATTTGTTTCATCTTCATCTCATCTCTTTCCATCGGCATCGAAATCGACATTGACATTGCGGTTGCCATAGCTGCATTCATCCATCCACACAGACAGGGCCTTCTAGAGCCCCCTTTTTTCTTTGTTTCAGTTCATCACATCACATCACAAAAAGAGCAAAAATGTCGCCTCTTCCTTCTCCTCGACCCCCGATCCCTCCCTCTCCACACCTTTATGTATGGATAGCCAGGATTTCTCCCATCCACCCAATGACCGATAGGTGATAACATAACTCCTTGTTGGTAAGAGGTCGGGTTTGGAAGCTGAGAGATCTCCTGATCAAGATCAGGTGATTGACAGATGGGGAGGGAGGCAAGAGAAGGAGAAAGATAGAGAAAAGCACCACGTGTGAGTGTATGTCTGTGTGTGACGTTGTGGCCCTGACCCCGACGAGTATCTGACGGCGATTATTATGCGTGGCCCCTTGTTCTTCGATCCCTCCTGGGCCTTATCCAGTCTAGGATGGAGTGGTCGGTCACCCACCTTCGCCTCCCCCTCCCATCTCCCTGTCATTGCTCAGGCCGCACGGTCCCCCTTCGATCTGCGACGTCCAGAGACCTCAGGCTGGTTCTTTCCTCGATGCTCCTTCCTCCTCTCTCGTGATAGGTCAATAGCTCTCACCCCTTTCGTCGTTCGGTCACTCGATTCCTCCTACCTAGCACCCCAGGCAGATACCTACCAAGAGCACCCTCTCCTACCGATTTACAGACATTTCGAGGCCCTGCCGCATCACTCTTGAGGGATAATCTCTCTATCCGGAGCGTGTAGCTCACTATCTCCCTGTGACGGCTCGCTGCCTCTAGATCGAGATCGAGATCGAGCGCGAAGGCGATGCGAGGGGTATACGGTTCATTGTCGTTAGTCTTCCTTCTCAGTTTCACACCTAGTCAAAAGGAGACAGACAACCACACACACACACAACCTTCTCCGCAGTAGAAATTCAGAGGGTCTGGACTGGTCATCGACATCATCCTCGCCACCCTGTCCCGCTCCGTCGACGCCATCGGGAGGGATGAGGGTTGTAAGGGCTATAAGGACTCCCACCGATGTCATCATCTTTGCCAGTGGTAGTTCCAATATTCTCCGACGCGTGGCGACACCTCTGACGATCACTCCCGTTGAGCAGTCCGTGGCAGTCGTGGCAGTCAAGGGGCCGGGACGCCTGTGCCCGCGTTAAATGGGAAGGTGTCTGTGTCTCGCAGCGGGTGATCATCCTCTTCGAATCCACGATTGTCGTCAGACCTCATCCTCGCCTCCACACAGTCACATACTGCACATGGTAACCCCTATCTAACCCATCTTTTACCAACGTCCATACCCTCCCGCCCCTTCCCAGGGAACAGGCCTCGCACAGCCGCATCATATCAAAATCTCAGCTGTGCCAACGCTGATATCGAGGGCATGAAACCCATCTCCATCCCTTATTCACACACTGGTAGGATTGATCTGTCCCTGCTCTTGACAGGATGTGCCTCGAATCTTGTAACTCGTCACTGCTCAGTCTCCAGTCCCTGAGTTCCAGCTGTGAACCTGGGACAGCTGAAATGACTGGTCCCACCAAAAATGCCTCAGACAACCAGGACATCCAGTGTGTATGGGATGCTTTTGATACAAAATTAGGTGCCCACTCCACCATTTCCCTGCCGAGACACCATTGACGCCGTACCTACCTGCCTGCCTGCCTTCTTGCTTTGAAGGTAATATTGCGGGAAGTGATGACGGCTAGCTTGGACCTCCTTGAGAGAACACTCACGGGTGACAATGCATCCATCATCCGCAATCCACAAGGGAATCCACAAACATCCACATCCACATGTACACTCACGCACTCGCGCTCTGTCTAAAGAACTTACCAATACCCAGCCACCGTCAACAGACTTTCTGGAATCCTTTTCCATCCAGCGCAGAAAATGGAAATGCCTCCACAATTCAATTCCGGTCGAGTCGATCTTTCTTCCCATGCCACACCAGCTCAGGCCGTAACAGGTCCCCCTATCTCCATCGACTTACCAACGAGGAGTATTCCCACTTTCCTCGCTCTGTTGAGGGGACATTGAGATCATGGCCATCCAACTAGCATTGTCGACCTTGCATCTCACATTCCCTGAGCTGCGCGACGACAATGTCATGGAGAGAAAAGCCATCATCGGAGATAGCACCCATTCCTTGATCGATTCAGCCATTGATACATCCGTGGGTGGCGAGGAAAGGTATCCGCTCGTGAGACTGATGCTGTGACATGGCCACAGGGTGATACTATGATGCCATCCAGGGCCACTATCGATGTCGATGAATCAACCCGAACCCCTTTCACGGGACTGACTGCGAAATGTATAGATATTCGCGAGACATAGTCAAGACATAATACATCTAGTTCCATTCGCGAGCCTGGATGAATGCATGAAGGCATCGATGCCCATTACCATGACCTTGCCACCGAGATGGACACGATACTTGGTGGTCTCGATACTTCTTCGCTATGAAAAACATGGCATAGATCGAATCGATGGGGGTTCTACTGTAGTATCTCGTCCGCGCTCTTTCTTATGATAATTTTGCACATTAACCTTGACCCATAGTCATTTTAAAGTGAGCACGGCGGTACCTCTTACCGAGTACTAGTCCTTATTTAGCGTTGTCGCCTTTCGCCGCTTTATCGCTCGATCTCACTCAACTTCACCTGGCTTTTGTATCCCCGACCTTTCACACCTCTCACCAGGGCAGGAAACTGCCAGAGTTATGGATCACTTAGTTCCTCCAACCCCATCTGACCGGGTTGAACTCAAAAGGTTGGACTAGGTCAAGTCCTCTCCTTACTTCGTCGGGCCTTGCCTCACCTCTATCCAAGTGTATAAGCTACCCAGTTACCTAGCTCGCCAGGAACAGCCACTCCTTATCCAGCTCTTCCACCTCCTCCAGCGCCGCTACAACCTCATCGACAGTCGCATACCCACCGGTTCCTTCTAGGCGTGAAGGATGTCGAACGCGCATTTCACCCCAACAACAATCTCGAACATGACGGCGCCAAACTCCCCAACGTCGCTCGCGATCGAATACCCTTCGTCGTCGCCCCCCCCCCCCCCCCCCCCCCCCCCCCCCCCCCCCCCC